ATCAAGAAAAATGCTTGTAATTCCCACTATAAGGGGGCGCTTAGTTCCGCCTGGATTTGCCCTTTTTTCGAGGTTCTTCTTTGGGTTAGTATGGTCCAGTATATCATGTAGACAATCAATCAAATCTTATATTCAAGATTTTGGCTTTTATTCTGTTAAATTGAATCTACCTAGTATGTTCAATAATTATTTTATTATCTGGTTCAGTCTCTTTTAGAAAATTGGATTCTTAACATTCTTTTATTACCTTTTGATAGAACTACTTGTTAAGGAATGAACATACTTGGACCCTAGTTTACCAGTTCCCAGCAACCCAAAGCGAAAATTGCGAAAAATTCACAAATCAATAAAGTCAATCGATATTTTTGGACAAAGTGGTCTACGTTACGCACGGTGTGCCAAAGTTATGTGCTTGAAGAAGAGAGGGAGGCATTCATATCGAGACTGATTGTGATGCTTTGAAGTGAAATACAAGACTGGACCATAAATCTTCAAAGTAGTATACATAGTGATACAGGAAACCTAAAAATGGAAAAATTCTATATCGTTTTATCTGTTAGCAAATTAATAGTGTAGCCAATTTTTAGGGCACAAATGTCGTCATCCCTAACGGATCCATTGATCCATGGCATGCATTGGGTAAAAAGGATTCTAATGATTTTTCAGTTGTATGGTACCTTATAAACGGTTCGTGCTTCAGTATTTCGTGCGTAGCAAAGACCATCTTTCAAATACCGTTGCTCCTCCAGGTACTTCCCATTGTGCGGATATGTATCCGCTGTCTCCCAATGATAAACCTGATTTGGCAACAGCTCGCAATCTTATTATGAAAAATATTAAGACATGGCTGGGCAGAAGGCTAAATCGCAAGAATGGTAATGGTAATGAAGAATTCGCAGATATCGAAATTAGTTGCGATATACTATTTAAGAAATATCGACAGTAACACAGTGGATGAGACCAAAGGAACGGGCCCCATTGGCAATCGAAAAACGAAGGTTTTATCCTAAGCAGCCCATTGAACTAACAAAGAAGGTAGGATTGCTGTTGATAGCACTTTTTCGCATTTAGAAGTAAACAATTTAAAGAGTTTCAGTCTTTCCCAGAATGGAATCACTATAAGAAAGTATTCCTAGGCAGACCTCCACATGGTTTCCTACCTCCACCTGACAAGGTTTTTTCCAATCAAAATTGACACATCTTTTTAAATGCTAAAGTCTGCTTTATTTTATCTGTATGTTGAGAAGGTTTAGCCTAGCCACGGCCCTCCTATTGAGTACGAGTCGGGGTTCTTCACACAACCATTTGATCACTTCGACAATCAGAATCCAAACAGTTTCCATCAGGTTACTCACTTTCTTCATATTTGCAATTTGGATGTGAAGCATTAAAGTATGCAGTTTGTGTGCACGCAAGTTTCAAGCGAAAAACATCAGATTGCGTACTTGCCTCTCTTGTGCTTCTTTATTTGACTTTGCAATAGCACAATCTGTCCGTAAAGTCTGCTCTACAAATTATATCCTGACAACTGCAGCGATTCTTCAAAAACGCTCATTGGGCTCAACCTGGAGGTCCCAACTTTTTGAAGATTGGAGGAGAGTCAGTAGGAAATTCTGCATGGGTACTGAATGAAGAGTTACCGTATCTCAAATGGGCAAAAACGTATGGAGCTACTGTCCATCTTCTTGAGCATAGATACTATGGAGATAGCATAGTTGGAGGGTAAAAGTCATAAAATGGAGTCAACTTTTTGATTAGCTAACTATCGTGCTGTTTAGGACAGAAGAGAATCCAAATCCAGATCTTAAGTATCTCTCTTCAATACAAATGTTATATGACGTGAAGGACTACATTGAAAGCAATTCTCACTCTAATAATAGCGGTCCTTGGATTGTTTTTGGAGGATCGTATGCAGGTAGTTGCAGTTAGTTTCACATACATTCAGCATCAATCGAATATCTATGAGCACGCAACTAAAAGAAGTCTAATTCAAAACTAATACTCCAATTTTGTCAACTAAAAGTTTTGAACTGATTGTAGGCGTAAGCGAGTCTATTGATTATGAACTTAGAAGCTTTGTCAGCTATCCTGTATTTTGAGTTGTTTTTGATTTGAACCTTTGTCAGTCAACTTTGATTTTTTAAAACCTTCTATACTTTGCTTCGTTTAGGTAATTTGGCTGTGTGGGCACGGAAACTATTCCCCAAATTAATAATTGGAGCTGTTGGCTCATCAGCGCCTGTTGAAGCTAAACTGGATTTTT